ATTACGATCGTGTTTCATTGTATGATAAATGGTCGGATATTCAATTTTCAAGCCGTTATCAAATATGTGCGGCACGATAAAATACGATTGTAATACTATACCTAACAAACGTTAATTTAGAGTTATTGACGAGCGTAAATTATATGAAACGACAGTATACAGTACCGTTTTTTTTAGCCATGTCGGCTACTGTAATTATCATCTTGTATAGAATTCCATATGTAACTATATTTACCATTGCTTTCATATAATCCTTTGTATGGTGAAAAGAAAGATGATTTTCTATTAATTTCTTTCCTTTCATCATTTCGTAAATACAAAAAAAAAAGATTTATATTTTAAATTATTATATAGCTGATTCTTTTTTAAAATAATTACTTACTTTTGATGCTACAGCTAAATTCAAAAAATAAAAATTATGTTAAAAAAAATGCATCTTAAGTTATGAATAACATTCGACATTATATACAATCGTGTAGGATAGTCGTGTATGCCAATCATTTACTCTCATTATAAACGATCGTCATATACGATGATTGTTTTTCGTTGTATATGATTATTTACGATTGTACTGTTTCAATCGTAGATCTTAAACTAATACTTTTCTCCATAGTATTTCTATAATATCAAAACTTTCCATAATTATTAACATGCTTCTAATGATAAATATACAAGTGTTCGAGTTATTTCAATAAATGATTCAATTCATTTTGAAGCTTCTACTCGGTATTTATATATAAACCTTCATCTCATGTGTATCGATAGCTGTAAGAAATGCTTCTTCATAACAATCATACAATAGATGCTATATTGAGGAAAAATGAATCGAATATATTTTGGAATTATTTTCGATTTGTCAATAAAACAATAAGATTGTTTGTTGAATATATAATCTTGATGATTTACTACTTATTATACATATCAGATCATTTTTTAATGACTCGATCCAGCTCAGAATGGTACTATTAAAAGTAAATTTCTTTTACAGAAAAAACGATTTCTACATGATGGAGAGCAGCAATCACTTATTAGAACATTGTACCAAAAAACACAAGATACATTTGTAGAGGTACACCAATTTCTTAAAGACTATCATTTATTAATATAAACTTTCACAAGTAAAATGCACACTGATCAATTTCAAAAGGTCAGATCGATTACTATTTTCTACTAATACTTATGTCACTTAATGCAGCTGGATAATGTTATTGAACTGAATAAATGTTCTGATTTTATTTATTGACTAAATGAAACTTCTAAAATGTTCGTATAATAAAGATTTCTGATTGTTATCAATTGCCAGACACAAAAACCCATAATGAAAAATCAGAATAAAATCGATTTTTAGTTAGAAAAAAAAACAAACGATTACAATCAGATTTTTTTTCTCTGTTTTCTTACGTAGGAAATCTTCATTGAAAAAAGAAATAAAGTTTAAGTCAGACGGTCTGACAGGGAAATCTCTCTAGACCAAGCCAAGCGACTCATTTCGAACTCTGATACGTACTTATTCAAATCTGTTTATATTATTTCATTCACACTATATATTTAACTATTACGAATCTATAGGAGAAATTCTTTGACAACATCAGAGAAAAAACTTTATCATTAAATAGAATCAAATTGTAATTGTTTGATGAGTGAGAAGAACTAGACAGGAACATTTTGTTGAATACAAACAAAGTTCATCCATTGAGATCTCAGATAGAAGCTTTAGACAAAAAAATATTTAGCACAGATTATATTTTTAGAATTGATTAAAAACAAAAATGTCTAGTAAAGATATTATAGTAGTTGATTGAATATTCTATTCTATGTAATTATTTGTAAAATAAATTAATCGATTGTTGAATTGAGCATATTACGATTCATTGTATAAAATGAAAAGTGACTACAAATAATTCTATTTACACTCATTTTTCCAAAAAATCAAAAAGAAAATAATGCTGACACGGGAAAAAAAACATAACAAGTGTCGCAGTCAATAGAAAAAAAAAGAAATGAGAATATATTAGGCTTATAGGATATAAAGTTATTAATTTGTTTGTTTATTTTCGATACCATTTTTGCAATGTATCATATCGTTTAATCTTTCGTTGTAATTGCAAAATACCATAGAGCAATGCTTCAGCACTCGGCGGACAACCAGGGACATAAATATCAACTGGTATTATACGATCACATCCGCGTACCTATTAACAATATTTTTTTTTTTCAAAGCTGATCTATAGTGAAAAGAAAGTTTTCAACTGACCACTGCATATGAATAATGATAATAACCACCACCATTCGCACATGAACCCATAGAAATAACCCATTTAGGATGAGGCATTTGCTCGTAAAGACGTCGAATGGCTACAAAAAAAAGAAAAGAATCTATAAGGCGGTGGAAAAAAGTTTAACAATAACGTATTTTTCACTTTTTTTTTCTAGGATTTTAAGCTGATAAGGTTTCTTAAAAAAGTCAGACACGGTAATTTTCAGGTTCTAAAAGACTATTTTAAAGAGAACAAAATCAGGAATTGTCGAATTTTCTATGATCTTCTTTTAAAAACTTAAAAGTATCATTAAAAAACTGACGAAAGACGTTTCTTGTAATACTATTAACCTTTTCTATCTTCAACAAAAAAAAAGATATTTCTATTTACCTGGAGCCATTTTATTAGTAAGTGTACCAGCAACAATCATAAGATCACATTGACGTGGACTAGCACGAAAAACAACACCAAATCGATCCATATCATAACTAAAATTAATTGCACAAAAAAAAAAAAAACAAATAAAATTTATAGAATAGAAAATTACACAAAAAAAAATTTACCGTGGTGCAGCCATTTGCATCATTTCAACAGCACAACAAGCAAGACCAAATGTAAGTGGCCAAATTGAACCACGTCGAATTAAATTTTGTACATCATCTAAACGAGCTAAAGCTACTTCAACTTTACTATCACCATAAAATTTGCCGGGAACAGTTTTATATGGTGATACATTTGTTATTACATTTTGTTCTTGTTCTTTTTGTATCGGTGGATTTGTTGTATGTTCAACAGCAGTTGATGAAGAAGGTACTGATGCTGTTGCAGCTTTTCGATTAGAAATAATAGATGGAAAAACAAAACGAGATAAGGATAGAGAATAACGCACGAGTGCCATAGATGGTATCTAATAGAAACAAAAAAAAATTAAATTAAAATATTTGAGACAATAGATTTTGAGTTATTCAAGTTCAAATGTGTAATGATCAATATGTTTAGCTGTATCTATAATATCCATAAAATACCTATTCATTATCGAATGGTTAAAGTATTAATTCAATAGATGTCATTATTTGTTGATGAGATTTTGTTAGACAAAAAAAAAAAAAAAAAAAAAGAACTAATTTGTTCTTCTATAAATTTTCAAAAGATTTTTATATAAATTTAAAATATATTTTAGTTTCATTAATATAACATTTTTTTTTTCAATAATCATTCATAAGAATGATTTAATATAGGAAAAAGAAAAACAAATAATTGAAATTATATCACATTATCAATAAATATTTCATAATAAAAACAATCTTTAACATCCTATACATACATATTTCAAAATAATAATAACGATGCATCTTCTATTATTAAATATAATAATCATTGTATTGATTCCTGTATGTTTTAGTGTTTCAAATAATACTGGTGAGTAATTTTAATATATTAGTTAAATTAAAATTATATTCATTTATAGAATTATCTATTAGAATATGTGAAAAATGTTCTCCCTGTTGGAATATTTTTGGTAAGAACTATGGATCTTGTTTGAAAATAAATTACAATATGAATCCATTTATGATTGTACAACCTATTTGTATTGATACATTAATTTTACTTATTATATTATTTGTTAGTATTGTTACTCTTGTATCAAGTTGTATTTGGCTTCTATATTTATGGATCAAACGATTTCAAGATGATGATACAAGATATATTATAGATGGATTGATAATTATTTAAATATTTCAAACTTTTTTTTTTTTTAATGTTAAAAATTGATTAAGTGTTAGATTTTATTCATTTAAATAAAATTATGTTAAGTGTTTTGATAGTAGATAATTTTGTCATACTCGATAGATTGATAGAAAGACTGTATTAAAAACAAAACATTTTTCTGACAATGAAGTTTAGCATGAAATAATTGTAAATCACAATAATCAGTGATTGTGTATCTTTGCTGTACATAAAAAACAAACTAATTTGATTATTCATTTTTGCAATAGATTATACGAGCTGTTTTTACAACGTATCTTTCATTTAATCATCAATCAAATGAATACAATATAGCATAGACCTTCTAAACCTTCTTACTAGTGACCGGATAACAGTTTCAAGTTGTAAGAGTAGCATAAATTTGATCAAGATTTATAATAGTTCTATTTAGTATGTCTATTTTATAAGATTTAACCAATAAAATCGAGCATTTCTTGATCATTAAATAATGCATATTGATCACGATACCTTTTCTACACACTACTGTCTTCACATATGAGAAAGATTCTAATAAATATCGTTGAATTGAAAATATATATATCAGTGCAACAAAATTCTTTACTAATGTCTGTATAATCTAATCGTGAGTGTGTGAATTTCAATGAAGGTCATTAGACAAAGAATTGGCTTTTTTGATCGAAAATACTAGATTTTAGATCTTATTTTGACCGTGGACCTTGTTTGGATTGAACACATGACTTGTATGAGTATGGCTCTTCTCTTTATAGACAACCGAACTTACATTCACGAAACTCTGCAAAAAAGTTTGACTTTTGTGAATATTTATGTCTCTCTTGCTTATTGATTTACATGGAAAAAAAAGAACAAAATAACTAGGCTGCCAGTCCTAATAATTTTATTTGTGCAATAGAAATAGGACTATACTGTTCTTTTGTTATAGGCTCTTAGGAACAGTTAAATATGCTGTTACTATTTTGAGGATTCTTGAAATACATATGAATGAAATTCACTTTATTAACCCTTTTATCAAATATATATTTGATTCTTCAATGTCTTGTGATTATAGTCATTCAAGAATCACACACCAGAATTGCTTGAACTCATCGTCATATTCTATTGTAGTAAGTGATATCATGAGTGAACCTTGCCTTCTCTTATCTTTCTTTACATGTGGATCGTTGCGATCGTGTCTATTGTCGTATATCCAATATCAAATATACCAGTTAAGGAAAAAGAAAATGATTTCCTTAAGAAGTGTATCTCTTAAGGGTCCGTAATATCTCGCGAAAAAGATGATTTAATTTCGTTATTGAAACTAATGTCGTAACTCCACGATAATACTTCGTTATTTGATCACTTCATTACAGTTCAGTCGGCTATTTTCAAACGAAGTTACTTTTCGATTCAGATAATCATGTCGAATAAAAATATCAAATTTGTTTGATCATTGATTCCTCGTTTCATCTTATCTATTATCCTACCCTAGCCGATCTATCTCGGACAGCAACTCTGATGAATCAACACTAATATTTTCTTCTTTACAACTGTATAACGATAAGAAGCGACGTAGCTTTTAATGTGAGTATTGCACTGAATTTAGCCAAATAAATCGTTCCTACATTTTCAACCTATATCACAACAGTAAAAACGAAATCATCATCATCATCATCATCAATTGGAAGTAATATCTCGCCACAAACATTAACATTCAGATGTAATTATCAAATTGTTTTGACTTATGTATTAAGCTATTTAGGAGATCATTCATAAATTGTTTTTGCTGTTGTTCTGCTAAAAAAAACAAACTATTATCGTATCCTGTTCTTTTACTGTCATTGTTTTGTTTATATAATAGTCAACAAAGAAGATCCGGCACAGTTTATATGTATAACATTTTCCAATTCGTATTTCAAGCAAATGACAATAAAATTTTCATTATTTATTTTTGCTGAAGCAAATTTTACAAAAGCATACTATCACTATTTCAGTTGTATTTTTGTACCAGTAAAAGTCATGGGAACCGTTTGTTGAGTAGTTACACAACGGACTTTTTTTTTCATTAGAATCCAGACTTCTGATAATGATGTCAAATATATGAAAGGCAAATATAGAGGAATCAAACTACCTAAGAGAGAGAAATACTCTGTTACCAATTTTGGTATATTACGTACACCAACTCGACTCAAGAAGATGAATAAACCATATGGTAAAACGATTCCAAGACAAAGAAATGATATCGAAAGAAGTTGATAAGCCATTTTACGATACTTTCGCCAACTAAACGTTTGCTGAAGACGACGCTTTGAGTAAAGAACACGAACTAAAAGTGAAACACTAAATACAGCAATACATATTGGAGAAATTATATTATGAATCATCTTGCTCCACGCGGATAGAACTGGATAATTTTGCATCCAACCATTGCCGCAAGCAACACTTTGGAAATTAAGTGGAATTTTACATGAATAGAAAGATAAAGCATAAATATAAAAACATAGAACATAGACAATAATAATAAAAGGTGGTACATAATGCAAACATATATTTTTCCATTTTGAACGAAGAAGACGATCATGAAAAATAAGGATATGACGTTCAAATGAAGCCCATGCTAGTAACATTGCACCTATTGAATAACCACTATGATTGATAAGCCGCCATATATAGCAAAAGATAGCATTCTGAAAAAGTACTTTGCCTTGATGATAAAAATATAACTGTAATGGAGCATCTATTATTTTGAAAGCAAATTGAACAACTAAAAGAATGATAAGACAATAATTATTTGGTGCTGAACGTAGAGTTTTGTGAGTCAATATATAAATGATGATAATAATATAAGCAATAAACGATGGTATTGTATGTACAAGATAAATATTGAATCTCATCGATAGAGTAATTTTTGAAACATAAATCTTTTGTTGAGTAGTACTATCATAGGTCATGTTTTGTTTTAGATCTATTTGCATTTTGAATGGTTATTAGAAGTCTCTTCTGCTTCTTTCTTTTAGTTTGGTTTTATTTCGAATGCCCCGACCCAAGATAGAAAGCATCGCACTGAGAGAAAAAAAGAGTCATAGAATGTAAACAAAGAGAACGAAAACAGAACAGAGAGAGAGAGAGAAGAAGCGAATGCCAAAGATTAACAGAGAGAAAGCGGACAGTAACAGCTGAAGCGATATGAAGGTATGTAAACAACATGTCTGTAACAATGGTCATCCGTTATAACTTAAAAATTAAAACAAGAAAAATATATATATATATATAATATTCTGCAGTTGTTTTCTTCAGATTTACTGATTTTCTTTGCACGTCTGGTTGTTAATATAGCAAGATTATAAATATGTGTAGAAAGATGCTTGTCATCTGGCAAGTTGAGAGAAAAATAGAAGCATTGACATCATTAGTTTGATAATTTGCATATAGATTAAAGTTTATTCATGTGCGGTGCTGATTGTCATTTAGACCGATACATAAAGAAATTTGAGAGCCAAATAAGCGAACTGTTGCGATAGTAATTGTGTCTGGCATCGATGCGCGAAGGCCATGATGTTATATGCAAAATTAAGCATGAGATACAAAAGGAATGCAATGAAAATAATTTACTTGTAAGTCATTAATGTTACATAAAACTTTAAAAAAAATGAAGAATTACAATATCAAACTAAATTCATGAATGTCGATATCAATAAGTTCATTAAATATAATCTAAGAGCACATGTTGACTAAAAATCCAATAATAAGCCACTAAAGTCACAGAACAATTGCTTCTTTGTACCTATGAAAATTGAAATCTGTATAGCGTTTTTTCAACTTCAAACGCCATCTTACATTACGGTTTGAACGTGTTTAAGAGAGAACGCATTTTTTTTTTGTCTCCAATCAATGCCATTTAAGAGCCGTTCTATGTAAGCTACGATCGAACATTCTTAATCGTTGATCTCAGAGTTTACTCAGTTTCGGACGTGTGATGCAGGAAAGTATTTTATAAGTTCTGGTGCGCAGGGCGCTGCAAAAAACTATTGAGGTGTTGATTTTTTATGATTTTTTTTTTCGAAAGTCCGAAAATATAATATCGAAAAATACAGTGCATAGTGAACTGAATATCTCACAAAAGACATTATCGATCAAGCTCAAATTGTTTGTGGATGCATATACTGATGAGTTAAATGTACAATGAAATTTTCAATTCAGTTGGTTGAGTTCCTTGTAGTATATGATTAGTGCTCCTAGAGACAAAATTCAAGATTTCAAGCGATTTTGAGGCTTTATATCTCATAACTTGCAAGAAATAGAGATCTCAAGTTTTAACTATAGACGTAACGGGTGGTCCGAAAGTTTCCACACAAAATGTTTCTTCATTTTTCGACCGATTAAATATGTCACTAGAAACTTTCGAACAAAGGGTTAGATTCAGCATTTTATGCTCTTTCAGAATTTATGCTCCGAATTTTTGTAGGATTCATAGTTTAGGAGTTATGAGCGAATCTTTGGAAGGCTTACAAATAAAGTTTGGATAGGTTTCAGTGCACAAAAAAACGTCCAAAGTAAACGTAAAATTTATTTCAGATACCCGCAAAGAAAGAGTAAACATTTCTCTACAAAATGATGGCCTGGTCATTAATTTACAATGAGGCTTCTCTGAGTAATGAGAGTTTTAGTAAGAGACACAGAGACGTTTTCGAAATTCCCTGGTTTCCAGACTGTCAAACAGAGCTTGATTATTTCTGAAAAAATGCTACGAGATGCTCAGTTCTTAGCTCACTTTGTAAAGAACGGACTCGCCCTTGACGCTATGTATAAAATTGATAATAGAAGAAGTTCAATAAGGGATATTATTGTTGAGAAGGATGTATGTTGTCAAGATGCTGATCCAAAAAAGTTCAAAACGCCATGTAATCAAGGAAAACGAACTTGGGCTAAGCTAAATTGGACGTCTTTACGACGGAAATAAGATAATGCCGAGAAAGGTTGGTGAAAAAGAGCAGAAAATCAATTCCAAAAGACATACGATCAAATTTTAGTTCTTTGGATCTGTTAATTCAACTGCTTCCATCCAAACTTTATTTTTAAGCCTTCCAAAGATTCGCTCATAACTCCTAAACTATGAGTCCTATAAAAATTCGGAGCATAAATTCTGAAAGAACATAAAATTCTGAATCTAACACATTGTTTGAAAGTTTCTACTGACATACTTAGTCGGTCGAAAAATGAAGAAACATTTTGTGCGGAAACTTTCGGACCACCCATTAAAATCATAGACGTCTATTATCTACAAAATGTTAAGCTTCATAGAGTATTGTATTCGCTAGAAAAGGCTTCGCAAACGTTCGTTTTTTTTTCAGGAACATCCCAATATCCGGTAAAGACTATGTTTGATGAAAAGGGGTGATTTGAGTGATGAGATTTTGGCACTTTCAAGTTCCATCTGTGTCATATAACTCCATAAGAAAATCAATATCGAAGTTCCTGCTCAGACTTGTTTCTGAGTTAAGAGTACAGAATCTTATTAGGATTTACTCTCGATCCTTGTCAGAGTCCTCATAAGAATAACAGACCGAATTTAGTCAAGATCTATTCTCGATATTGACACGAGGATTCTATCTAGAGTTACGATTATATCAATGAAGGATCTTAACAAGTATAGAATAAGATTCATCAGAAACTTAAACGAATAAATCCTGTCAAGTTTCGATCAGAATTCTGCTTCGAATTTTTTGTAACAAACATTTTCCGATCCTTATTAGACAATACCAGTCCATGATTAGAACCTAGATAGGAACATACAAGGATACTGTTTAGATCCTTTCAGGTTTGTGCTTAGAGTTTATTTAGAATTTGATTTTCAGGATCCTATCAATATTTATAGCTGATCATGTCCAGGATCTTTAAAGATGGATATAAAGTTTTCATCAAGATTTTAGCTCAGTTTCGTTCAAGATTTGCTAATCTTCAGATCACAAGTCGAATGTTAATATCAGTGTTGAGTAAAACCTCAACATCATTAAGTAGAAGGATTCTTACTATGGATTGTTCCGAACCTAACAGAATTCAGGAGCATACTAGAATTTTATCTTGATCATAGTTGGATGTTTGCATAAACAAACAGAGAGGTTCTGATAAAATCTCAGAAGACTTTTCTGAAACTTCCATATATGATTTACATATCGAAACAACATTAGTTGAAATTTTGAGATCAAAGAGACAAACAAGTTTAGAGTTAAGGAACTAACATGAGCACTAATAATAGTGAAGCAATGTTTAATGTACGAAAATGTATGTGAGTTACATATTTCAACTCCAAAGATGCTGCTCTAACAAGCTTTGTTCAAGTAAGTTTTTTGTTTATTGAAGCAAAATTTTAAATATTAATACTTCCTTAATCATTCAACTGCGATAGCCAAAAAAAAATGGAAAAGTGATTTTTTTAACAACAGTTTGATGAAATGGCAAGCATATCATCAAATTCTTCACAAAATTCTGCATCTTTTGATATATATTTTTGTAGAGTAAAAATTCACTATCAAATAATTATAGAATGACTTTCTGAAAGTGTATCGAAATAACCCAAACAAAAAAACAGAAAATGACATTGTTCAATTTAATCTATGCTACCCGTTAATTACTAGATGAGTAAAATCAAGAAAATGAAAATAGATTTTATCAAATGTTTTTTACGCTCCGTTTCAGCCAAAATCCTGATCGAAAAAAGATATGCTTTAGTACTAGAATATTTATCTTCAATTAATATAAGTGTGAAATGTGGTTCAAGGAATTTCTATTTATGAAAGATTATTAGTTTTCATTGAGAAAGAATTTAGAAAGCGAAGCTAGGTGATCGAATCGATTATAATTTATATTTTTCATAGTAGTCATTACAATAAATCAAATAAATCCATAATATCTTATTGTTATCGGTTTTTTTTCCTTTTTAATTTTCTTTTATAATTTACTCATCTCTATTAGTATTTATAATTAATTCAAATCGTTCTATATATTTAAGATTCAATGATTTTGAATACCAATAGAGTTCCGGTTGGTATCGAATACAATAATAAATTTATAAATGACATTATATATACATGTTTCATTGAGATCATTGTTAAATAAGAGTAACTTCATAAATGTATGACTACAGATTGAAGTCATATTTGTATGACAAATTATTATTCCACGACAAGTTCATATTAAACATTATGATTACATATGAATAGTAGTTTTTTAGAGAGATCGATATGGAGAAGTATTGATTCGTCATATCTATAAGACTTAGATTATCATCAATTGGGTAATTCGTATTTTTATTAAATAAAAAACTAAATGAATCCAGTAAAGTAGAACGAGACTAGTAACTTGATTTATTGGATCTGCAATGAAATCCTATGAAATTATGATTGGATAATATAGGTGTGAATGGACTTATTCTCTTTATCCACAATCTCTTCAAATCTCTAAGATAGTTCATCACAAAATGTTATATCTAAATAAAACGATAATAATTTATTGTTATGAACGAATTGCTTATCAATTATATAAACGACAAAAAAACAAAATGTGTAAGATCAATTGATAATTTATTTTCGAACTTTCCTTCTATAAAACACCACAGTATCATGTTAAAATTACCTGAAACATGTGCTGATTTATCTAATTTTCCATCATTTGGTATTATCGAGCGATTCTATCGTGCCGTGCAAGAAGAATTTCCATAAGTCATATGAAGATTTAATTCATTCTGTAACGACAAACTGAAGGAATAGCTTACCACTAGGCTCCGTGACGATATTTATTGACTAATCCATATCTCTAGAATAATGTGTACTTCACACAACACAGATTTATAAAGAAGAAAGAGAAAGAACGAGGAAGAAATATGAGCAGAAGAAAGGATAAACGAGAGAGTAAGAACAAACACACAGCAGGAGAAAAAAAAACGAGATAGTAG